TAATAATAATAATAATAATAATAATAACAATAATAACTACTTAATAACCGAGAGTGAGGTCGTTACGGGAAAATCTCAAACTGAGGCCTTGCGAACCGAACGGTCGAGGTTATTAAGTTGTTTATCATATGGCCGATTAATTAAAGAAAAGAAAAAAATTATTCGAGCGGAAGTCGTCAGTTTACATCCGGCGATGCGCGCGTTTACCGATTCATTCATCGATCGTCTCAAACCCAGGGCAAAACTACACAGTCAGTGAACTTCACCCCTGTATTACGTATTCCGTAAAAATACACATTTCTTTACGGGAAAAGTGATTGTCACAGCCTCAAAAAGGTGTTTTAGTATAGTGGTGCCACAAGTTGATGGGGGAGTTTTTGCGACTTTTGTGGCGAAACGTCAACGCACATGGAAAAGACAGAAAGTGCTTCAAAGTAGTCCAAACCAACGGTCTTTCGGTGAAACAAAATACTAATGCTTCAGAATGGACTGCTCAGAATAACTCGATCTCCGCATTCGCTTTCGACAACATATCTTCGCCTTAATTCTTCATTCTGGGATTTAGGGATGAACTTTTCAAGCCTTGTGAACGTCTAAAACTTCCTGCAGTTATTAGAAACACTGCTACCGACAGAAACCGCCCGATTGTTTACATCTGATGATCCTGGAAGCTGATTTACCCTTGCTTGTGTAAAGCGAGGGAATATATTTGATGAGAACTGTGACGGAGTTTAATATTTCTGTAATTGTTGTGACTAAGATGATATCTTATAAGTTTCTTTGTTGTGTTTTGCTCAGGATGCATGACAGATCTGCCGATGGTGTTTTTCATTTAGCGACTTTAGCTTTACTTAAGACTCGGCAAACTTTGATTGTTTTTCACTAGTGCCCGCCAAGGTTACCGACTGGTGAGTCAAAAACGACTCCTATGTAAATTTTATTAAGGAAAAATCTCTAAACTTTTAGCTACTTACTTTCTCTTACTGCTTTAAATCGGTTTTCGTCGTTGCAATGCGCTTGAATTTTCAGAGCTGGGCTCTTCCTAATTTGCATAATCCGTAATCAGCCCGTGGGCATTACGGCTGCATAATGACCGTTCAGATCTCGCTCTTAGCCAATCAGAGCGCGCGTTATATCGGCCACAAGCCAAAGCCATACAATAATGTCGTGTATTGTAAGTAGGTTAAGTATTGTGTCGTGTTGTAAGTAGAGTAAAGCAATGTAAGTAATTATGTGCTTAGCAATAAAAAAAAAATAATAATAATAATAATAATAATAATAATAATAATAATAATAATCCCCGCTGAGTCTCGAGAGAAAAACAGTCTGCCAACAGTCTAATTATACTTTAGTACTTTCATTACCAGGTGTAGTAGTGGGAGTACTTGGTGGAGCAGTAGACGGTGCAGTAGTTGGTGGAGAAGTCGGTTCAGCATTGCATTCATCAGTATGGCAACAATCCACGTTACATGACTCAACATCACCGGTTTCATTAAGATTGCTACATACGAACTCCGACGAGCAAAGAATTGGCGGTAAACACACTTTGATTTTAACTTCAGTCATAATTTCATTTTCATTTCTAAGTGTCGTCACGGTAGAACAGTTGAAACCTGACTCGCAAGTTACCAGTTCCTCTGCATTGGCGCAATCTTCTACGCAAATGAAGCATCTCAGGCGGGGTGGTGTGCCGCTGCCGCCATCTGTGGAAACAAATTGTTTCAATATCGTTATGGCGGTGGGTTAAAGATGATTTCCAGTCCGTACTTCACACACTCGAGAGTTTGTTTACGTTTTTTGTCTTGTTCCATGTACGACATTACAAAATGTAAACATTGCATGAAGTAATTAAATTCAAAGTTTCATGTCAACAACCATTATGGATACGAAGCTTTATGCTTCGTTCTTTCTCATCAGATCACTTGATGAAACAGCTTCTCAGCTGTAAAAATCAATGAAGCTGTTGGAAAAAGAATTTGAAAGGCCTCAAAGATAAGGAATGTGGTTCGTAACGAATAACATCGATTCGCATTTCATCGAGTGAGACATATATTGTTTATAAACATTAGGGTGCTGAGACTGCGCAGTACGGACTGGAAATCATCTTTTCACACAGTGTAATGAGATTTTTAAAAAATTAAAAGGAAAACAGCTACATGTACCATTGATTATGGGAAGATGATTTTCCTGTCACAGACAGTAGTTCAACCTTCTGGTTACTAGTCCGCATGCGTATACTTCTTAGCCACATCAGACTATAAGGCCATGGCGCTGGTTATTTAACGGGGGGACGCTAATCCATTCATATGAAGAAGGTATAGATGCATAATAATAACAATAATAATAATAATAATGATGATGATGATGATGATTATTATTATCATTATTAGTAAAGGTTTTTTAAAACAATTTGAAGTAAAAACTAACGGTAAAAGGGCGCGACTCTCCGTCATCGCATTATCAAGCTTAAAAGTGAAGAAAAAATTTTGCATAAGTTAAATATAAAACGAAGAAGTAAAAGTATGTAAAGTATGAAAATATAAAAAAGGGTGTTAAGAACAATAAAATGCATGCAAGAATAACATAATTAAAAATCAAGCAACATCTGAAACCGCGCGAAGTCAAGCCGTCTATTGCTTAACCAACAATCCCTTGCAAATATCAATTTAAATGTGACCTGTGTGATGCAGGTTATGTTGGTTACACGCGGCGGCATTTGCATCAACGCGTAGACGTGCGCAAGAATGCGTCTTCCTCCATTGGAAAACATTTTCTTATGAAACATTCTTATGTGCCCAAGGATCTTACCAAGAATTTATATAATTACCATCTTAAAAAAGTGCAAGAACTAGTTTGACTCTCTCATTTTTAATTATGTTATTCTTGCATGCATTGTGTTGTTCTTAACACCCTTTTTTACATTTTCAGACTTAATGTACTTTTACTTTTTCGTTTTAGTTTTATACTTATGCAATTTTTTTTTCTCTTTTAAGCTTGATAATGACCGAAGTTCGGTCGAAACGTCGCTAACTTTAACCGTTAGTTTTTACTTCAAATTGTTTTAATAATAATAATAATAATAATAATAATAATAATAATAATAATAAGTATGTTTACTCTTCGTTACTGATACTTATTAGAAACAGAAAAAGAACATTTGTGGAGACAGTGTGACCGAGCTTGATACTGCTATATCGGCTGGTCTGACTCCAAAGTGCCAGCTGATATTATTAACCACGTTACGTTCATACGACTCTTAATTTACCTTGACCCTGAAAAGTTTGTATTAGGGAATGGTCAATGAAAAAGAACTATTTATAAGTCGGCACACTTTACAGTATCCGGCTGGTAATTTTAAAAAGGCCAGCGCCCCGGCTAATGTATCATGTTGTTATGTGTAATCATTTGAAAATGAAAACCAAGCAATTAAAAAAATAACGACAAAAGTGGTGAAAGCAAAGATACTGATAGATGACAAATGTGGACCAGATTGCATCTTACGTTGCTTTTAAATTTTTATACTTTTTTAACATTGTACATACGTTTTTATTTTAGTTTCTTGAATTTTAATGTTATTATAACGTATACCTGTAGTATTTCACCTCAGTGTCCCCAATTAGCTTCCTTAGCTAAAGTTGTAAGACACTTCAAAATAAATATAAATATACATTTATATAGCGCCATTTTCCACTAATTGTCCATGGCGCTTTAATAAAGTTTACTATTATTATTTATCAAATTTCAACCAAAAAATAATGACTTAAAGATTCAAATTTCGCCAATTGATTTTGTGACAAGCGGTCATTCAACCGAGGTTTTTGAACATAATCCACTTCCACCCTCTCCTGTATTTATTAGGCGGCATATGCGGGAAGTAAGAACGACCCGGCTTACTTTCGATAGTCCCCTATCTGTACCATTGTCCTGTCTAAGTGAACAGTAGCCTACTTGGGTTGAAGCCGTCGAGAATTTCAAGTGAAAAGCTAGTTGTCAACATTTAAATTAATTAACTGCATCAAGATGATGCTATTGAGACTCTGATATATAGGTCCGTATAAGCAACACGTATAAGATCTCTAGGTGAAATTGACAGTTTTAAAAAATGGACTTGGCAGAACTGACAGACGACAAATCTGGAACAGATTGTATCTTATGTAGCTTTTAAAATTTTATCAAGTGTATATATGCTTTAATTCTAGTTTCTTTAATTTATAATGGATTTTTAACGTTATTTTAATGAAAATTTGTGGTATTTCATTACAACGTCCCCAATTAGCTTCCGGAGCTAAAGTTTTAAGACACTTTAATAAAGTTTATTGTTATTATTATTATTATTTATTATTATTATTATTATTATTATTATTATTCCTAAGCTTCTTTTGAAGCCAAGACCCCTACCTTCGTCTTGCAGCTCTAGCAAACGTTTCATGTTGCTGAGATCCTGGATTTCGTCCAACCAATTAGGAAAGGGCAATGAATGAGCGGTCGCTATGCATATTACCACCACCTAAGCGAATATAAATTAAATGTGATAAGGGAAACGTGCAAGTATTTCGTTGCCTTATTACTTGCACCAATATATAATTCATAAAAAATACGTTTTCATTAAACTGAGTTAAGCTCAAAGCATACATTTATTCTTTAACTGAGCAAGCTTTAAGTGCTATTACAGTAACTGCAGTATTTGGGCGGCAATGAAAATTTGAAATTAAATTGGAGTTGAGCGGCCGGTAATTATAACTACTTGAAGTTAATTATGAAAATATGTTTTCAAAGAGAGGCGATTTCATTTCAGAGACATATCTGACTTTCAAATCACGTGCTTGCTTCGTACTGCATATGATTAAGAAAAATGTTAACCGGCCTTTGATGAGAAGAAGACAGCCTAACCTTAGCGAGATGTTTATCAATTAGGAAAGATTTATAAAACCGTGGTATTAAATTAATTTTGCTCAAAGGTGAGAGTTTAGGTGAAGTTCATAGCTGCAAGCTGAAAAGGCCAGAGCATTAAAAGCCAAAGCGAGGTACTCTTAGATTATGCGGTGGATTCATATGATTGTGAAGTAAATACTCAGTGCATGCACACAAAAGCAAACAATTTTAAATATAACTCTGACACGTAAATGAAGAATTTAATTTTGTACAATTTTCACTTGTCCATCAACCGTGTTATTTTTTCCTTTACACCTTCCCAGTAGATCATTATCAACTGCTGTAAATTACTTAATATACAAGACAGTCAATTCGAGAAAACGTTTCTTGGCTGGTATTAGTTACAAATATATTTGAGTTTATAAGATAGCAGGTTCTCGGGTTGACGATCGATCATCATTGATGTTCATGTTGTTTTACGTTCAGTGTTATCCCATTATAAATATGGTCACACAAAACTTACATGAACACTGCTGCTAATGGTTATCGGGAGGGTGTCATTGATAATATCCTATATACAGAGTAACGCTGGATATGTTCCAGTAAAAAAAACTTAGACTTTGTTTATTTTTCTTAATGTGTGCATCGTGATTTGTAAAAAGGTTCGGTTGCATTTTGATGATATTATGTCCCAACGTTAAATGTGAAGCTATGTCCAAACATTATCAACGAAAACAAGAGTTTCAAACCTTCTGTCAACGGCAACAATACAAATTAAATCGCTTACCGTTAAAGACAGCCAATCTATCTTCATTTTCACTTGATTCCTTCGTTACCACATGTTTTCTACGACTCCGTGGATGCTTGTTGATCCTTGTCGCTTTTATATTGCTTTGATCATCCGGATTCAGGCTTTACCTCAATATAGAACCTCTTCGAGCCAATAGGGCGACCTGTAATTGATCGAGACGGTTTGTCTGTCATGATAATCGTATTGCCTTCCTCTTAATATAGTCTCCACTGCGGCACTTCCGTCAACTGATATTAGTCAAAGAAAACAACGGATCACGTTTTGTTTTGTGTACTTACCCTAAAGCATTTCTGTTGCTTTTAAATGAATAAAACACGTATTTTATAAATTAGTTTTTACCACGAACAAAATTACTGGTTAGATGTTAGTAGTAACATTAGTTACAGCAATAGATCTGCATTCGTTACCATGGTCATTTTATATTGTACTTTGGACAGTAAACTGTTAGATTCCTTTAGAAGTATTTCAAACGTAACATGCAGCGAGCCCAGCCAGAAAGAAAAACCGTTATCTTAGATTTCATTTGATATCTCCTCTCGTCCAATATGCGAGTGTTGGAAATTTTAACTTAATTTATTTGTTTCAAGAAGTCTACTACCAGGTCAAACAAAATTGATTTTGCAAACACGAGTAACTCTCAAAGGATGAAATTTCTTCGAGATTCAGTCGAAGATACAACTCCTGATATATCCACTGGCATAATGGAAAGATAAACTACCCCGCTACTCGATGGACAACGGGCAAAAAGTCAACAACAACGGTAACCTGGAAAGTTTAAGTTTTCACAGTCACGAATAAAACAAAATCAAAAACCATTCAGTGGATAAAGTCAAAAAAATGTTATGTTATAGAAGTTAAATAAAGTAGACACTTCGCTAAGTTTTAGGTTTGTGCGTTATCCCAAACTTCAGATATTCGTCAAAATGTTTTGCACAAATTTCAAACGTCCAGTGGGAGGACCTAGCTCCGTAATACACCAATATGGCGGCAGGAAAATAGTGTAAAATCTGAAAGTCACTTTGGTTATCTGGGCCATTGATTTCTGTGGTGCACAAACATACATCCACATAAACACATTTGCTACTACTTTTACTTCACAAATGGCTAAAAATTACGAGATAAATATAGTGTTTTCGACAAACGTGATCGTATGTTTTCGGTCACGCGCCGCCATAACCCTGAAATTCAAAATGCGCTGGTTTCCAAACGAAGGACGCTGTTGAACGAAAAGGTGTAAGCAGATCTACATTTAGTGCCTCTTATTCGTGCTGGGGATAAAAACTGTTTGTGTCCTTAGTTTTGGGTTTAGTATTTGATGTCACCACGTAAAAACGATCTATTAGCAAAATTGTGTAACGGTGATGAAATTGAAGTTACTCTGCGAAAGCGAATCTATCAACTGTATATTTTCAGTTTTAGTTGCTGGAATAAATTTCTCAAGTTGTAAATACTCTCTAATATTGGAAGTTTTTTCAAAGCACCAATACCGTTATTTCTCACCTGATTCCGTTAGGGGGCTACTCTTAGCACAAACAATTGACAACGTGACTTTTCCACCAATTCCAGCAATAACAAAAACAACAACAACAACAAAACTATATTCCTTTTTCAATAATTTACATGAATTTTAGGTTAATGAGTTGTGTTACATCTACACTTTATTATTAGAAATAATTAAGTTAGAAACTTAAATATAATGACAGATAAACCTGCAGGTAGTCTAGGCTAATCTAGGCGTGCTACATCTATATTTATATTATGCCATTAACATGCAATAAGCTTATTATCCAACTATTTGGACAAAGATTTATGAAAATTTTATTACAAGCGTTATAACCAGAGATAAGCTAAGCGATGGGTTGAAATTAATCAGGCTCTAACTTTAAGAATTTGAGTCAGGGTGTTGACATTGAAGAACGCAGTTCAGTGAGTCGTTTTATCAGAAACAGCGCGTGACTTAGATTGCTGAGAATTGTTCAAAAGAAACTCAAGAAAGGTC